TCTGCACACCACACACTCCACCAGGCAGGCCGGCTCTCGACGGCGATGCTCATACGGGCTGCACCACAAGTTCGTGATTTTCAAGACTTTGAAGCTCTCTTTCTTCTTCTGAACTCGTGATTATTTTGTTTCGGTTGAACCAATTTGATGGATCTCGTTTGACCAATTCATGATTGTTATTATTTTTTATTTATTTAGTTTTTATGTATTCGATCTACTCTGAACCAATTTGCTTATGAAGTTGATATCTAACCAATTTGTAAATTTTATTTTTTTTTTCGTTTTATCGGATAACAGATAACTAAACCGATAAACCGCCAGATTTTCGGTTTGAAATCGAATCCAAATTCGATTCGGTTTTATATTTTAATATTGGACAAACCGAATTTTCGATTAACCAAAAATTTGATCGATTCGGTTCGATTTTGACCGAATGTGCAACCCTAATCACACCCCTAGTGTTCAAGTAAACTAGTAAATATGTGTGCACATGCACAGATGTTCATAAAATATTATAAGTAATATTTGAGACTTTAATATTAAAATTTTAGATAATGAACATATTACATTTTTAAAATTTAATTATTAGAAAAAATAAATTAATGATTGTTTATTATTATGAACAATTGTTTATTATCATCAGATAATAGCAGTTTGATTATTATTATTATTATTATTACAAAAACAATTGTTTATAAGATTTTAAAGTTGTTTGACTATGCTATTAAAACAATTTACTAGTTGTTTTAAAGAAAGTTTTTCATGAGATACAAAAGAAAAAGATAATATTGATGTTAAAATAAATAACTTGAAAAAATTGTTTATAATTATGCAATTTATATTTATTGTGAATTATTATTAGTTGGTATTAGCATTAATTATTATATAATATAATAGAAAAATACATGATTACACTCAATATGATGTATTAGTGTGAAAAGTAAAAAAACATTAATGATAAAGTTTGTAACAAAAATAGAGGGAAATTTTAAAGGTTTTATTAAATAGGCTTTCTGCTATTAGCTAATAATTAATGCTAATACACGGGTGTTGAATTAGAGAGCTTTTGTAAAAAAATATTATTTTTTTTTATTTTTTAAAAAACTAAAATAATTAATTTTATATAAAACATTACTTTGGGTTTTAATTAAATTGTCAAATTATATTTTTTTAATCATAATAATTAAACACCCGTAGATTAAATGAAATGTCAACCCGTGTTGAATTTTTTTACTTATATCATATAAAAATATCGATATTATTTACCATTACATAAGTACAAAAATATATATCTTAAATAAATAGAAATAATATAGTGATATGTATATGCATAAGTGTAGAATATGTATATTTAATATTAGCAAAATAGATTATTTTTTTGCTTAATTAGATGTCTAATACATCAAGTGTCGTATTAGTCGTGCTTCACTTTTTTTTAACTTTATATGTAATTTTAGAATTTCTATAAAAAATTATTTATTTTTATTACATTGACAACATACCAATTAGATTTGAAATAAACATCATTTTTAAAAGAATACATACCAATTTCTATTACTTTATAATATAATTTAATTTAGTTTGATAAATAAATTTAAATTTTATTTTTAAAGATATATATTACTTTTTTGTATTATATATATATATAAATAGTAAAATACAAACTGACTTCATAATATCAATTCAAATGCAACACAATAATTAAGATTTTTTCAAATTGATAAATAATTTTATTTTCTAATTAATTTTAATAAATAATGTTATTATTATTATAAAGATAAATATAATTTATTTATTTTATATATAGAAAAAAATGGATAGGATTCCACGCAATAAGCTGATCGCAATCCGCTTCTGTGGCGTGGAGTGGACCGAGGGTTAAGAACATGCTTGCTACCAAGTGTTTTTCAAGAAGTGTCGTGAGATGACAGACATACACCGAGATCCTGTATTCAATTCTTTGTGGCCAGAAATTGCACATTCTCTGAACCGCATGCTGAGTTATGCCTTGAAGGAATATTCTATCGCCCAAGTACGGGGAAAGATTAAACGGCTCATAAAATATTTTGATGAATATTCAAGTTTTCTGTTGATTCCAAGAGTCCGAGTGAGTAGTGATGCTGGTCGTGATAGTGTTAACCACATATACTGGTTGTATGTGGATTAGGTAAAATGAATTTTTTATTTTAGTTTGTTCATGCATTTTACGATGCGTTCATAACCCTGAAAAGTTTCAAATTTAATACTCAGGAATAGACAAACTCTCAGGCATTTTTCTGTTGGTATGGATTCCCATAGTATCATGAGTGTTACAAGGTTTTTACCAAGTGCACCGCAGCGGTGATCGACTTGGAGGGTTGGCTTGGTGCTTCGGTTGACGATCTAATATGGGGGGAAGGCATAGACGATAATGGCACTGACGATGACAGTGATGATCAGACTCATCCGCCACCACTGCAGGTTGAAGTTATCGATCTCGACCCTGAGAATCCACTGAAATAAATTAAAAAACAACTTGTAAACCAATTTACATTGGTTGTCTTGTTTTGTTGGAATTTGGGGACTGCATCAATAACGGATTTTCTTTGTTCTGTCCAATATGTTAATCAAGATTCATGTGTTAATAAAATATTTTGCGTGGATAATGAACCATTAATGTCTGGCAACATAGATTTTTCCAGCAAAATTAGCGACAATGAAAATTTTAGTTAAAAGGAATTTCTAAGAACTCCGAGACAAGTGTGATATATCGTATAGTGTATAATGAAAATAAATAAATAAAAGTAAACAATAATACAAACAGTTAACAAGATGCGGGTTATAACAGAATGAAAAAAAAAAAAATCAATATAAATAAACGATATTTATAATCACATATCTATCAAATGCATATTTTATCAATATGCAAACATGTTTCGAATGTTATCCGCATAATACGAACCTCATTTTCTGACTGCTTTTTTTCACGTAAGTTTACACACGCAAGATGTGGAACTTTTTTGTTTGAACTTATCGGTCGTCACTTCAAGCAAGATGTAGAACTTTTTTCTTCATGCCTAAATTTACTACCATTATTTCTTTCTTTTTGTTCAAAGTTAATAAATCTATTGCATGTATTTTTTTCGTTTTAATTCTTTTTGTGTTGAACTTATTTAGATCTTATTTTTCTTTATTTTATTACACTTCAATGGCGATATCATAGAGCTGTTTCAAAACTAAAACTAAAGTACTCCAAAAAGATTTTAGATTCTAAATTCTTTTTTCTCTGGATTATGGGAAGACAATGCGTAATTGTATATTGTTCAAAGTTCTGCTTAATATAATTTATTTTTTGTTTCAATTATGCGGGGCTACGCGAGTAATTGCATACAATACGCACTTCTGAGTTCAATTTTATCGATCTCCAAATTATATAATATCAACAGTTCTTAAGAAAGATAAAGCATTATAATAATTTAATTACACATTTCCAATAAGATAGATCTAATTATTAAATCGACTCAACTACTTTAAGAAGACTAACATCAGCACAAACATTCAACACTTCCAAAAGTTTACAAGATGCTATATTCCGTAAATATCTATATATTTTTTTTTTTTTCTCAAAACGATAGATATGAATAAAATTCAACCAAATTTACAGAGTTCGAGAGGCCAAATGACCAATACAAATAAGGAGTTCCATGGAGGAACTAATTAATACTAAACCTAGATAAGTAACTACAAGGCAGTAAATTTACTGAAACCTCTAGTTAACCTATCTACGCCAATACAAAAAGAATACTAGCCACTGAACCGAAGAACCTAGCTAGGGAAATAGAGGAAGAAAACTAGAAAAGGTGATAGAGATACAAGCAGCAAACTATACTATAATAAGGAACTCAACTACAACACAAAAAACAGAAACATCAAGCTAAGAGATGGACTGCATAGAACTCTTGCCATTCGAGTAGAGCAAATTTGATGATCTCCTTTTCAGGTAGCCATGACTTCTTGAAGATCCACAAATTTCTAGCCTTCCAAAGCCACCACAAGATATAAGTGGTGAGCTCAATCCTGTCTACAGTAGCTTGGTCTTTGTTTGAGCAAATCTCCCTCCACCAGTGCTTAAAGTATGGAGTGTCTGAATTGGTGCAGTTCCAGTTCAAAGGGGCCAGCTTCCAAGTTGTTTGGGCCTTAAAGCAGTGAAAAAATATGTGCTCCATTGTTTCTTCAGAATCCCACAGACAGGGCAAATCGAGTCCAACAGCAAGCCTCTCTTTGCTAGATTAGAAGCACAAGGGATGGTGTTATTAAAACACTTCCAGATGAAGTGTTTCAGCTTCCTCTTGATCTTCAGTTTCCAACTTGTGCTCCTTATTTTGCTAATCTAGGTGGACTGAGTGCTAGATTCAGGAATATCAAGCTTGTTGATTTTTCCTTTTATGAGCTGAGAGTAAGATGAAGAAACTGTGAAGGAACCTTTCTTATCAAGAGCCCAAATAAACCTGTCTTGCTTTGTTTTGTCTTGAGTATCAATGTGGAGAATTGCTTCAGCTTCATGAGGTGAGAACATACTTCTGATCAGATCAATGTTCCAGCTGCTATCTTCCTGATTCATGAGTTGGCCAACTTTGGATATGTTCTGAGGACAGCTAGGGTTCTTTTTGGGTTTGAGATTTGTGAGGTTGTAGCCAAGGATGTTCCCAAATCAGAGCTGTTTGGCCATCACCTATTACCATTCTCAAATGCTGCTTGAAGGAAGGACAAACTTTCATCCAGCTTCTCCATAACCAAGAGCTGCTAGCAGGTGGTTTTGAGTCAAGAAATGTGCCATTTGGAAAGTATTTGCACTTTAGGAGTCTGCTCATGAGAAGGTTGGGCTTGGTGATTAATCTCCATAGCTGTTTGAACACAAGAGCTTCATTGAATAACCTCAGATCAGTGAATCCCAAGCCTCCATTTTCCAGAAATAAATAAATTAGGCATTCATTGAATAACATGAAGTTGAAATAAATAAATTAGGCATTCATTTTATCCTTTTCCTGGCTGCCCAATAAATAAACTAGTGTCTCCATCTCCTCAATCCTGCAAAGATCATCATATCATTGATTATTACAAAATCAAAATAGAAAGGTAAGAAAAAATGCACCATAAAACGAACAAAATTGAACAGTCGAAACGCCCCATGAGAATGTCTAGTTGGAAATATATGGGCTTAAATCAAAAAATACAATAGGCAGCTATCAGTTAAATGAGTACCGCGAAATTATGTTAAAGAAAAAAAAAAAATCTTAAAAAGAAACACTATACAAAATCATTAAAAGAACAACAAGTGTACTTCAACGCAAGCCACTAGAACTAAGACTCAAGGGATTACAATAATAATCACATTTCAACTTCAATTTTTAGAATTTAGTAAACGTAATCACCCCAAGGAATGCAGTCAATTGTGTTCCTAATCATTTGTTTAATTTAATGTAATTAATAAAGCGTATTGTAGATAAAATACAAAATTCATACTCAATGTGCATAAGCCTAAACACAACCCTACGAGTTTTTACTCCATCAATTTCTCTGAGTTTGACCGAACTAACTTCAACCACAAGACCAATAACATCTACACAATAAATAAATAAATAAATATTATGTTAATGTAAAGCGTGTATAAAGAAAAAAAGTTATCAAACTAAAAATGGTATGTAAAAGGAATAAATATTGAAATAAAATATTTACCAAATAAACCATATTGATCTTGGCGAAGACCGTGACGGATACCATCAAATCGATAAAATGGAAAATCACCTTTCCACCTCACCAAAATAGTCATGTTGTGGATAATAATTTTGTATTTAGCAATTGAAAGTCGAAATGAGCCAACATTCGGTTCAACTTCGTATTTGTTAATGTCGTAGACTTACCCTTCTTTCACTTTGTCTACCCATTTTTTCACATTAGCCCCACGAATAAGTCCCGATGAATCATCCACCCTACAACAAATAGTTAGATGCAACATAAGTATTAAAGTTATTATATTAATTTTTGATTACTAATATAGATATTATTATTAGTATTATCTATATAAGACCACGAATAGCAAAACGAAAAATTAAATAAATATTAATATTATTATTAGGATTCATATTATATATATAAGACCACAAAGTTTAAAACATAAAATATATTAATATTAGTATTTGTATTAGTTTTATTAGATAAGAACCTGAATTGCAAAATAAAAAGACAGAAACTCACCTCCTCGTCACAAAATAAGATTTCCATATAGTTTGTAGTTTCAACCTCATACGTGCGAGAAATTATTCGATTTACTTGTAGCATTAAGTATGGTTTTTCTTCAACCTCATGTCAAGTTTTTTTTTTTTTTCCNATGACCTCTTGGCCTAGTGGTAAGAGTGAGGCACCCTTGACATGAGGTCAAGGGTTCGAGCCTTCCGGAGCGCAATGGTGGAACAATTAATACTGAGGACTAGAAGCGGCAGTGTTGGAAGCTGAAACTCGGTGGGAACCAGCGGCTGGATAGGTGGGGCCAGCATGAAGTTGGGGGGCCACCGAGCATCACTTCGGTGGAAACCAGCGGCTGGATAAGTGAGGCCAACTTGGAGCTGGGAGGGCCAGCGAGCGATCACTTGGGGATGGAACCAGCGGCTGGATAGGTGGGGCCAGCATGAAGTTGGGGGGCCACCGAGCATCACTTCGGTGGAAACCAGCGGCTGGATAAGTGAGGCCAACTTGGAGCTGGGAGGGCCAGCGAGCGATCACTTGGGGATCGACTCCTTGGAGCTGGGAGGGCCAGCGAGCGATCACTTGGGGATCGACTCCTTGTCCGCGGTAATTGAGGGTATTAAGTACCTGAGAGCCATTGTGTGACTACCGCAGTTTAATTGGAGGCAGTGTTTGAAGGGCCGGAGCTGTTTCCTCGAGGACTAGTCAGGCGCAAGCCTGGAACCTCGGTATCAAAAAAAAAAAAAGTATGGTTTTTTAGTTCTTGAGACTTGCTTTGGCAAACCAAAAACGCAAATCATGTTGAAAGTATTATTATAATTGTCTAAAAGAAAAAATTAAAAAAGAATACTGAACATGTGAGATTTTACATGATTTATCTGTCAATTTATTTAATTCTTTACAAAAAAATAAGAATCTACCCAAAAAATTATCACTTCCACAGTTTCACCTACCTAAATTCAATAAAATCTAAATTATCACTCCCACCAACCTCAATTAATAAAATTAAAATAAGCCGTTTTAAGGGGGTGTATTCAATTCGGAATTTAAGTGACATTTTAAGACTTTTTGAGATTTGAAACTTTCTAGGATTTTCAGATTTTGGAAGAATTCTATGAAATCTCAAGTCCGGAGGTAGGATTTGAAGTGGGATTTCATATAAGGTTTTTTGTTTAGAAATCCCACAAAATCTTAAAAAGTCTTAATAAATCCTAGTGTCAAAAAAATTAAATACCTGTAAGACTTTTGAAAATCCCAATTGAATACCCCAGGATTTTTAAAAGTTTTAAAAAATCTTAACAAATCTAAATTGAATACAACAGGATTTTTAAAGTCTTAAAAAGTCCTTAAAATCCTAATTAAATACACCCCTAAAAAATAAATAAATATATTATACAATAAAATATCTTTATCACACACACATCGCACCCCACAAATCCAAACACCCGCCGCCAATCCATTATCGGATGGCCGGAATATTCCCCTCCCTCCGGCGAACCTACCTCGTCTTCTACAACTGGACCCTCTTCCTCGGCTGGTCCCAGGTCCTCTACATCGCGGGCACCGCCCTCCTCACCACCGGCCACCGCTCTGTCTACGCAGCCGTCGAAAAACCCCTCCTCCTCGCCCAATCCGCCGCGCTCCTCGAGATCCTCCACAGCCTGACCGGAATCGTCAGATCTCCGGTCGCGGCCACCCTTCCCCAAGTAAGCGGTCGGGTCTACGTCGCGTGGGGCATCCTGTACAGCTTTCCCGAGATCCGGACCCATTTCCTAGTCGGATCCCTCGTCGTCAGCTGGTCGATTGCGGAGATTATCCGCTACTCGTTCTTCGGGCTCAAGGAGACGTTCGGGCACGCGCCGCCGTGGCTGCTGTGGCTGAGGTACAGCACGTTTCTGATGTTGTACCCTGTGGGGATCGGGAGCGAGGTGGGGCTGATCTGGTGTGCGCTACCGTACATGAAGAGCACCGGTAAGTACAGCGTGAGGATGCCCAACAGGTGGAACTTTTCGTTCGATTATTACTATATTACCCTTTTGATACTCGGGCTTTACGTTCCGGGTAGCCCGCATTTGTACGGGTACATGATGGGGCAGAGGAAAAAGGCCCTGGCTAAGGCCAAGGGCAAGGGAGAGTAGTTTGATTTGTGTGTGTGTGTGTGCGTGTTTTTTTTTTTTTTTTTTTTTANGTTGTGAGAATACATGTTCATAACTTCATATTATTCTTGAACCATATTGCTAATAAGTATAAATAAACTAATAGTCAAATTTAATTAAGTTAAAAACAATCATAATGTTTTAATTTGTGATGTTTGATTACATGGGAAATTGAGTATAAAAATTACTATGGAAAGAAATTTGAGTATAAAGATCTTCTTGGACCATCTGTCCGAAGTTTGTTTGGCCAGAGTTTAAAGAAATTACTCCATAGTACCACAAGATAAAGTAGATGTACATTATAGAGAAATGTGTGGATCAATACTTGATGCTGAAGCTCAGCTCGAGTGCAAATTGAGCTCGGCCCTTTAATGTAAACAAGCGAGTCAATCATGAACTTGGTACTAAGATGAACTCAAAATTTGTAAATTTCGATTCTCCTTTTATCTTCTGAGAATTGAATGGGTATGGTAGGATTTATGTTAGAAAGCAACATATTCTAATTTTCGAGCTTGTGTTGCTCAAGCAGCTCGATCGAAATGGATCTGCTTAACTAATTGGGTTAATGATGGGGATTAAACAGAATTCTACAAATATGGATGCTGAAGTGTTCATCAAGTTTTAATTATCTTTACTCTTTTTGCAGGGTCCCCAAGCTCTCACCTATTAGCCCATATTTAACCAATATTATTAGGTGGACCTTCCCCAAGGTCTATTCACAACATAATTGCATCTATTATCTCACAAATAATAGTACAGCTCATAAAAGAGTGAACAGTAAAGCTAAGTCTCAATGTGCGGGGAAGATTGAAGCACAAGACATAGCACGATTTTAAAACACAATTATAGAAACAAATGACAAAATAGGCACAGCATGACCCAAAATACAAAATAAAAACACGATACTATTACATGAACACAAAACAATAGCATACTTTGCCATCCCTGAAAATTATATTTGTTTTCATGCTTATTATCCACTGCTGTTTTCAAAATACTGTTAATCTGGTTTTTATTGTAATGGAGTTGCTAAATTGCTATAGCATCACACAAGTAAAACCACAACACAATCAGATTATATGAAATTCATAATACTGATGACAACTCAATCAAACAAAGCAAAAACTGACACCTCAAGTCTTAACATCTTTCACAAAATAAAATTAACACAAAGGAAAATTGGAGTTTTTAACCAGAAAATAAAAAGGAACATTTGCGACTTCGAAATACAAGAAAATATAACACCTAGGTGTTAGTGGCTCTGGTGTAGATCTGCTGGCTCGAATGAGCCGACACCATTCTGATTAAACCTCTGGCCATCAATTCCCTAATTGCTTTCCTAGCTAGAGATCCACTGATCTGCAAATCATATATTACAGGATGAAATATTAGTAAAAACAGAAAAAAATTACTTCCATAATCATTGCAAAGATACACATTCAAATGAAATGGGGCTATGGACTCCTATCGATTGGAAACTAACAAGCATCAAGAATGTAGGAAATGATAAAATGAATTTCAGAATCAAATCACAAAACATTTTGATTAAGATTAGTTATAAATTCGCGCAAGTGGATTGCGACTTGCTGACACCTATTAGCTACTAATGAAACATTTCAGATGCCAATCAGCTACTTCTACTAGCAGATACCGACTACTAATAAAGTATGAAGATAAGTGGTTGTAAATAAAACAAGTGTGTAAGAAAATCAGCAAATAGGTGAGTGATTGTATATGCAAATGTTTCATTTTGCATGTCAGTCAAGATTTCTCGCATTGAGATGTGAATTGATTCATTGAATAAAAAATTCAACTTCATCACATTCACTTTTTCTCTCTATGATTCAATCTATCACAATTCTGAAATAACAACCAAACTTTATTATATATTTCCAATCTACGATTTGCTATCAATCAATAGTGTACTATTTTCATATCATACAACCTTTAATCACTAAACTTTTATTCCATATTCATTCACAATCTCAAATCTATCTCACTTTTTTCTACAAACAATATTTTCTTATGTTCCACCTCATTTCTGCGCAAGACGATTTTTCCAATAAAAATACACTCATATCCAAATGCAATATAGGAGAAAAAACATCACATAACTACTAGCCCAACCTACCCAGTTCCTATGGTTACAAGGCAGGATCACATGAAAAAATTACTCAGCAGCCCAATATTCAAACAAAGAGAAATGAAATTTGCAAAGATCTCAACTTTTTGTTCACAAAGGTTCAAACTTCAAACAGATTGTACTGCATTACATTTCAATCCTCAGTATTTAGCCACTTTCTAACCATCATCATTGTCACAATCTCATACTACCAAATCACAAAACATACAAAAAAATAATATTAAGAAACGCACAAAAATTAAAAAAACATAAAACAACAATCAATAATCAACAAATAACAAATTAATTTTACCCGAAGACGATCTGATAGCACCGAGGGAGTGATGAGCTTGTACTTGGGCGCCTCTGACAGCAACTTGTCGTATGTCGCCTTGTCAAACAACACCATGTTGTTCACCTTCTCCTTTTGCTTTCCCTTGCTCCACTTCTGCAAAATTATTACGATTTCGCCACAGGATTTTCATAAAATTAGATTTTGAACAAAAAATGTGCATCAACTAAAATAAAATGAACATATAGAACAAACAATAACGGAACCGACCTTCTTCTTCTGTTTGCCGCCTCCGGATTTCGCCGGCTTGGATGACGGCGGCGGAGCCTTGTCCTTCTTCGGTGCCTGTGCAAAAAAATATAGTTAACAAACATAAAAACAACATATGTATCGGAAGGTCGAAATTCAGTGAGAGTGTGTGAAATTTGATAAAACATAACGGCGTCGCACCATCGGAAAGTGAAAATCGGGTGGGGGGCAGGCGGCGGGGAATCGGGAGAGTGTGAGAATAGAGAGGAGATCAGCGACTATATCTGAACGTAGCTAGGGTTTTTATTTGGTTTTCATCTTAAGCGACGTCGTCTTAGTGAATTATTTGAAGGTTGTTGTGTTGGGTTGGGCTGACGGAGTACGGGTAGGAGTTATTCAGAGTATTATTCATTGGGCTGGTCCGAGTAAAAGCCCAATCATACAAACAACACAACACTTCTTCTGATTATACGCAGCTAAATGTCAAATTTGAAAATAAATAATATAAAAAAATTATAATATTTATAGTCCCCTCTTATATATATAATTTGAGAATAAGCTCAGCCTATGTGGCAAACTCTCATCTTCGAAATCCTATGTGGCAAACTCTCATCCTATGTGGCAAACTCTCATCTTCGAAATCCTATTTGGCAAAAATTCATACTTTGAGAATAAGCTCAGCCTATTTGGCAAACTCTCATCTTCGAAATCCTATTTAGCAAAAATTCATACTTTAGAGTTAGGTTTGGATATAAATTAATATTTGTATTAATTGTATTTTAATATCATTTCCTATCATAACCAATGAATTGCAAATATATTTTAAAAGTTGATAACTTTTGTATTTCTTATCGGTTTTACATATATAATATATCAAATTATTCAGTTTTTTATGAGCTTCGATTTGACATCCATATTGTATATATAAAATAAATAAATTTATATTTATTTTTATAATAATAATAAAATTAATTATTAAAATTAATTAGAAAATAAAATTATTTACCAATTAATATATTTATATTTAATGTAGTTATATGTTATAAGGTAGAAAATTTATTATATTATAACACATATAAGTCGCACAAGTAAGACGTGTCATATTAAAATATATAATATATACTCCCTCCTATTTTTATTATTTGTCACTTTGACTTAATTGATCATTGATAAAATATATGTCGTTTTAGATATTTTGTTCGTATTTTTCCATTTTTAACCCTCCATTTAATACACAGTGTCTCTTCATATCTCATCTCTATCGTTTCTCATAACATCTATTAAATAGGGTTAATATTGTAAAAAAAAATGCTAATTAGTGTGTTGCATTTGAATTGATATTATGAAGTCCGTTTATATATATATATATATATATATATATATATAATACAAAACAATAATATATATCCTTATAAATAAAATTTAAATGTATTTATCAAACTAAATTAAATTATATCAAATAAAACTATAAATTATATTATAAAGTAATAGAAATTGGTATGTATTCTTTTAAAATGATATTTATTTCAAAACTAATTGGCATGTTGTCAATGTAATAAAAATAAATAATTATTTATATAAATTCTAAAATTACATATAAAGTTAAAAAATTGTGAAGCACGACTAATACGACACTTGATGTATTAGACATCTAAACATATTGTACACTTATTCATATACATATCACCATATTATTTCTATTTATTTAAGATATATATTGTACTTATGTAATAGTAAATAGTATCGATATTTTTATATGATATAAGTAAAAACATTCAACACGGGTTGACATTTTCATTTAATGTATGTGTGTTTAATTATTATGATTAAAAAAATATAATTTGACAATTTAATTAAAACCCAAAGTAATATTTATATAAAATTTAATTATTTTGATTTTTAAAAAATAAAAAATTTAATATTTTTTTACAAAAGCTTTCTAATTTAACACCAGTGTAATACACGGATATTGTACTAGTATGTATTATATATATATATATAGATGCAGTCTAACAAATGTTAACAAAAAAAAATTGTGTGTATTTATATATGTAATATCACTTTGGTTCTTGTTTTATCTTCAATGGTAAATTCTATTGGGATAAATATTGCATAACATCAACTGGTGATGAAATAGTACACAATATCATCAAACTTTTGAGGTAAAATCTATATCTATATATGTATAATAAGAATTACCATTTACTAAAAACAGTAACAAAAAGTTTAGAAAACATTTAACGCATGCCGTTTTTGGAAATTTTTTAAATATACAAGATTTGGAAATTTAGAAAACATTAATTGGTTACATATACACGTTTTCAAATAAGATCAAATAAGATATGATCAAAAAATTAAATACATTTATTAATATCTGCAATATTTGCATTGATATTTATTATAATAAATTACAAGATTGATTTCCATAATCCATGTTGATAATTTTTTGGTCAAGATAAATATTATTTTATTAATATTTGTAATACTTTCATTGATATTCATTATAATAAATTATAAGATTGATTTCCATGATTCATGCTGATAATATTTTGGTCAAGATAAATATTACACCATATTTTAAGTTCTAACCATAATATAATTTTTCTTTTTTCACAAATATTCACTTTTTATACAAAAATATTTATGGAAAATCGTACAGGTTAGGTAGAATTGTTTTTCCAAGTAATCTGACAAAATCAAGTTGGTGAATTAATTTTTTGCCAATTTTTTTCTTAGGCTTTATTTTGTTAAATATAAAAAATAAATTGTTCTTCAAATTAATATAATTTACCATTTAAGAGATAATGACCATATACATTAAATATTTTTACTATTGGTAAAAAATTAAAATTCAAATATATTAACTATTTTTTAGAATTTATTTGTATATTATTGGCACCCATGATTATTTTTTTTCATTTTTTTATTTTGATTTATTTCTATAGTTAAATTCTTGTAAAATAAATTTTCATTGCAGAGTATGCTAAATAAACTATAAATCCTTATAATGCGAATTAGAAAAATCTTGATCATAGAAGAGATTGAGTTTTTGGAAAATTTTAAATCAAATTTGTTTAATTAGTATACAAAATTAAATTCTAAAAAAACATGTGTATATTTTGTAAAATATTTACACACTATTTAATTTTAAATTTATTTACATATTTTAAATTGATTACATAAATAAATAATACTAATGTGCATTAAATATTTTTCATTACATAAAATAAAAAGAAAAAGAAGACGTACAACTTCCATAACTTTATAAATAATAATAATATTATATGACAACAAAGTTTATAATAAAATAATAATTAAGTATTATATGGTGAACAAGAATAAAAAAAATTTTTATTCTCTCTTGTATCAAGGAATAAATATATATATACTAAAATCAAATTTATATTAGTATAAATGTATTAGTGAGATAATATATTAATTATTTTACTACACTTAACGTTGATTAAGAGAGGTGAAAAATATATGATAACCATATTGCTTTATATACTTAAACGGACAAAGACTGTAAAAATAACTCATTTAATATGGATGTCCCATGCATCGCACGGGATACGTACTAGTTTACATATAAATTGTTTACTCTTATCAATAATGTGTACATTTATAAGACAAAAATGGTAAATATATAATTTTTAAAATTTTAAAATTAAATACTTAATTCAGCAATTGATCCACAGGTAATTTGATAATTCGTAGGCCAGCCCTGGTTCCATTTGACAATCGGTTTCAAGACATTGCTCACATGTGACTAGGGATGCAAACGAGCCGAGTCGAGTCGAGCATTGGCATTATCGAGCATGATTGATTTTTTTTTTTTTTTAGTTGCTCAAGATCGAGCTCGACTCGATAAAAAAATACAATAGCTCGAGCTCGGCTCGGATTCAAAATGCTCGAGCTCGGCTAGAGTTCGGTTTTCAAGCAATTTTGTAAAATTGCCATTAAGTACATATATTAATATTATGGTACATATATATACGATGGGTATTTTAATAATTTAACATATATCTCGAGCCGCTCAACATGCAAAAACTCGAGCTAGGATCGAATTTTGACTCGTAAGCCGCTCGATTCGTGTGCAGCCCTACATGTGACAATGAATGACTATTAAAAACGTTAAAAGGAAAGTGTAATGGATAACATGTCCTCTCTATGTAGCATCATATTAAGTTGAAAATAGTATCATATAAAATTGTATTATATGCTTTATAATTTTCATAATATAATCGTTTTTTAATAGAACACTCTCTCAAATATCTATATTAAGTGCCCCTACATTAATAATAACACACACAGACAAAAAAGATAAGGGCCATGGGAAAAGACAAAAAGTGTAATCCGACTCACAATTCTATTAAGCCACCATGCGCACCTTTTATGAAAACCTAATGCCATATTAGATTTTTTTAGTCTTCGAATATTTTTAAAATTATAGTATATCCAGAAGAATGAAATTTTTAATGTCCTGTTTTAGTGTAACAACTAATTAAATAATCCGAGAAGTCCATTAGTAATAAATGAACGAGGTTTGAGCATGATATCTATATTTTTAAGCTTATTTTAGTATCACAAAAATGAAAAAAAGCTGATTAGATAGGTAAAGTGGGATTAACTTTGTATTAAATAGTTGTTTAATAAGTAGTTAATTATTAGTCGTCTGTTTTGATTTGCAAGTTATGTTATTATTAGCCGCTTGTAAAATTATGTAATAAAATTAGTTGTTCTCATATAAAATTGTGTAATTATGATAACATTTATATACATTAAGAATTCTTATTTTGCAATTAAATGTACTTAAAAATAAATCTTATTTTTATTATTTATTTTTTGTAGAATAATTTAATGATCAGAGAGAGCCAAGTCCACGTTTCATTAAAACTAATAAACTGATTCTGGTGAACTAAAATGGAGGAAATTAAATGCAATAAGTGTGGTTTGAAAGTAAAAAAGCATCATATATTTCTTAAAATTTTTCTTTGCAACAATTATTCATCTTTTACATAAATATTAAATGTTAATAAACAACGTTTCTTACTAAAAATTTTATGATAATTAAGATTATATGCAATAAACTATAAATGTTGAGTGGGCACATAAGATTAAAGATTTGTTCTCACATGCATAAAGCCTTGGTGGAACTTCAAGCCAAATATTGAGATTTATTTAGATCATTTGAAACTGGTCTTATTAAATTGGTACTCTCACAATCTAAGACAAGTTTTCCTTTCAATTAATTTGGAGTTAAGATGCTTTTGGAAAGACATATCTGCCACTTAAGCCTCAAATAATTGGATAAT